TACTAGTAAATTCGGTACCACCATCGCTTTGAAATACCTTGATACGAGAAGAATATTGATTTTCCACAAATTTTTGACATTGAAGAAAAATATCAAAAAAATCAGATTTAAATTTTAAAGGGTAAAACCAGGTGAATCAAGAATAATCATCAATAAAAATAACATAATAAAGGAAACCCGAATTTGATTTGACGGGAGAAGGACCCCAAAGATCACAATGAATAAGATCTAACGCATGAGACGACCTACGTTCATTGCGGGAATAAGGCAATCGATGACTTTTTGCAAGCTGACAGATATTACATAATGATGGAGAAGGCAATAAAGACGTAAGAGAAAGATGACCTTTTCTATTTAAAAAAGAAATAACAGAATGATTCACATGACCTAGACGAGCATGCCATAAATCATATGAAGCACGTAAAGATTTGTTTCTAAGGGCTGAAATAAAAGCAGAGTTGCCGCGCTCCAGCACATATAGCCCTCCATCTCTTTTACCGGTTGCCACCACCCTTCCTGTTTGACGATTCTGGATAGTAATAAGATTATTAGTAAATGTAACGGAGAGAGGAAAATCAGATGTTAATTTACTTATGGAAAGAAGATTTTTAGTGAGGTGAGGGACAACCAAGACATCTAACAAGTGAATATTTGGAACAGGAGAAAGAGTACCGGTGTGGGTAATGGGTAGGGATGCACCGTTTCCTACAATCACAGAGTCCTTACCCGTGTAATTTTTAGACTGATCCAAAATAGATGGGTCGGCAGTCATATGGGTCGAAGCTCCAGTGTCCAGAAACCAATCAGCAGTATCGGGTCCAGCAATAGAACATGACGTGTTAAAGGCTTCAGCAAGGTGAGCATGAGAAGAATCAGGTCGAACATACCGTTGGTTGCAGCGGTCAGCATAATGGCCCTCTTTGCGGCATATTTGGCAGTGAGGTGGTCGATGACCTTGACTTGAGTGGGTTCGTCCTCGATTAGAACAGTTGTTTTTGTGAGAATAAGAACGACCTCGCTGGTTGGTAAAGAAAGCAGGGTGGCTTCCATGGGTGCGACCACGATTAGTGACTGTGAATGCTGTAGGAGTGGAGTTAGAGGACTCAAGGGAGAGCTGAAACAACTCAAAACTTTCAGCTTTAGAGACTAAATCTGCAAAACAGGGGATAGAGGTAAGAGTCATCTGAGCAGTAGAAAAAGCTGAAAATTCGGTGCCGAGTCCACGAAGGAACCAGTGCACTTTATCAATGTCCTCGACCGGTCTGCCAATGGCATGAAGTTGGTCACAAATTTTTTTGAAGGCACGGGCATACTCAGCAACAGGTTTGGTGCCACGTTTCATCAACTGCAAGTCATACTTGAGTCTCAGTTCACGAGCTTTCGACTGATGGCTGAACGTAGTTTCCAACGCAAGCCAAACATCACGTGCAGTAGGGAGACCAACGACAACAGCCATGGCTTCCTCAGTGAGAGAGGAGAGCAGGAGACAGAGAAGTCGTTGATCGGCTGCTCTCCATGCCAAATATTTGGGGTTGAGTGTTGAAGAGGTTTCTGGTTCAAAGCGAGGTGGTGGAACTATAGTTCCATCGACATAGCCCAACATGTCTTGACTCTCAAGAAGAGGAAGAAGTTGGCTTTTCCAAAGAAGATAATTGGAGGAAGAAAGTTTGATGGTGATCATATGGATTAGAGTATTGAAAGGAAGAAGATGATAAGAAGATTCGGAAGCCATAGAGAAGAAAGGATCAGGGTTGTTAAACCGAAAGGGCTCTGATACCATGTGAATGTTTGCTGAATCACCACACCTAAATGGGAGTGAGAGTTCTCTTATTTATAATTATTTTCAGAATACAAAAATATGGTAAATTACAAATATTATGGAAATAGTAATAAAAGGAAAGAATAATAAATGAATGCAATATATTTGCCTTTAATAAGAGGGCAAATATGGTAACCCGTAATGTAAGGCAAATATTATAGTGACGGTCAACTATCCTTAACAATTTCATACTAACGTAATAGCAACTCTGTTACAAAGGCTTGATGGAGCTTACAAAAGCAAAAGGGTAATAAACTAGTTTACATACAAAAATGACGTGACGTCTAATGGCTCTAAACTGCAAACTCGTCGGGAAGGAGGTCAGCTCATAACTGCAAGTGTACACCATTATCAAGCAATTGCTTAGAGTATTCTAAGATGTCGAACGTATAGTACTTGTATACAATTAGATACGATCATTTTGGTAAAAAGTTTATCAAATTGCAACAAAAATATCCATAGAATTCTTTTTAGGGTTTCTTCTTCCTTCGGACCATACTTATCAAAATCGAAGGTTGTTATCCTTCCATAGGTGTTTATGGATGAGTTGGTTGCTGAAATTCAGGCGAAGAGCTCGACTTTCGAGCTCTAACTTCAAATCTGGAGGATGTGAAATGAACTCAATTTATTTTGACCCATACTAAACAAACGAGCTTTCATATTTTGGGTCAAAATATTCTTTAGATACATAACCCTTTGTAGATAAGGTATGAGCTACCCTACGCGTAATTTAAAAGATATGGTATGAATTAAGATAACAAAGTTCGATAGTTCGATTTCTTACTCCTGAAATGTCGAACTAAAATAATCAAAGTTTAGAGACCTATTAGCCATTCTGTTAGGGTCTAAACGTATAATTTGAATGTCCAATAAGCTTTTAATCTTACGTGATCTTACACGCTCTTTATATGGTATGTTCTTACTACATCTCCCTTGTATACCATGTAAATGTTCAATTAGAAATATTATTAAATTTATTTTAATCTATAAATTTTTTTAATAGGATCTGTATTAGAAAATGAAAATTTTTTTGGTAAAAATTTATTTGGAAAAAAAAAATTCCTTGTCTCGAATGTGATCTCCATGAGGAATCCTCCCTCTAATCTCCGAAAAAACTAAATGGAGGATTTCGCACGTGATCTCCTCGATAATCATCTCTCTAATCCCCACGAAAACAAACCGATGATTTTTCAGGAATAAAAAATAAAAACCGAAGAAGGGAATGCTTTCCCGCCCATCTCTAGACATCTGTTCCAACAATAAACAACAAATGAAAATGTTATCAAATGATCCATATTTACTATTTATGGCAAGAATACGAATATTGAAACCTCTTAAAGACACAATCAACTTTTACCTTCCATTGCACTGTTTATCGACTATAAAAGTGAAACAAACCAAGCACAAATGTGTTCATGCCTATATTTTTTCTCTACCATTTCAACAAAATATGTTTATTTTCAACGCTTGCGCTTTCTCTCTGAATTTCGTTGTTCTTCGCTAACCAAGTCACTGCAATCGAATGATCGATCATCCAAAACCCAGAAATTATCGTCAAGATAACAAATGCTCTAAAAGCTAAGAATCAGCTCACTTTTCACTCCAAATCTGGCAATGGAGTCCACAAGCTTACACCGTGGGCCAGCTACGACTTCAGCTTTCGTCCAAATTTATGGTTGTTATACTGTTTCTCCCGATGGCCTGGCTCATTTCGTTACTTCGATACGTACGTAAATAAGAGAGATAGAAAGAATTGCGAAAGTACTCTATGTTCGTGGTATGTATGTGAGTGAGCAAAATGTTTGTATGTTCAACTATAAAACCAATAATTTTGATATTTGGTACGAGCGGTCCGGTAAAAAAAACAATATATTCCTATATTGGAAGGTTGGATTTTAATATTGAAATAAATTAATGTTTTTTGATATGTTTGTCGTGTGTGTATCTTTTTTTCTTCTTCTTTTTATATTTAAGCTTGATATGATCATTAGTATAAGTGAATATAAACGCTATCGACATAAATTATGATATTAAGAATTGTCAACTTATTTTGGTCATGATTGGTAATCAAAACAACTATACGAGATTGCGGCATTGCTTTCGAAGAATTTTGGCCTAGAATAAAGGTAAGGTCGAGCATTAGGACTTAGCCTAGAGTAGAGGCAAGTATGATTGAACAGAATTTAGTCACTGCATAAGTTATGTTCGGTTAACGAAGAATAACCTTGTCAAAGGTCTAGTAAAGCCACAATGTCCAACGTGCCATTTATTTTTCCTAACTTGGAGAGAAATTATTTGAAAGCGTTCGGTTTATTTAAGGAAAGGATAACACAAATATATGATATAAATGATATTTTACAATGTGTCATATACGATCGGGCAATAATATAAACATTTTCAATTAATAAATGGCATATCAGAGGAGGGAAATACGAACATACCACGTAGCCTATACGTTACCCTCTTTTATGACAAGAATACAAAATATCAAAACTCACCCTTGTTCCTCAGCTTTAAAGTTAAAGGACAATAACATTACAATCAAGAATATGGGTTACAGTTAACGACGAATGGATAACGATCGCTCTTATGAGTTGTTTTTGTAAATAACACAAATACTAATAACAATAAATAAAACAATCGATAAGTAAGGACGTAATGTTGGGTCACCCATCCTAATATAACAGATCGATCGGAGCGGTAGACAATTAAAACTAATTTTGCAAGTATAAAAGTGAAACAAACCCGGCACAAGTATTCTCATATTTACAAAATGAATTCATGTTCAACACTTGCATCGTCTCTCCTAATGTCGCTGTTCTTCACTACCCTATTTACAACCATTGACGGATCAATCTTCAAAGACCCACCGATTACCGTCAATATAACAAATGTTCTAAAAAGTCACAATCAACTCACTATTCACTGCAAATCCGGCGATGATGACTTGGGAATCCACCAGCTCCCGTTTTTGGGCGGCTACGCCTTCACCTTTCGACCAAACTTTTGGGGCTCAACACAATTTTACTGTACCTTTCAATGGCATGGGTTTTCGCAGTACTTTGATATCTACAAGGATAACAGAGATAGAATGAAATGCAACAAAACTCTGTGCTTGTGGATTGTGGGAGAACAAGGTATCTGTATGTTTGACTATAAAACCAAATTGTACGATATTTGCCACGCTTGGCTGCCTAAATGAATGTAACTAATCAATATATCCATAAATTGGAAAGTTCAAATATAATATTATAGTACATCATATTAATTTGTTGTTTTTGCGTTTGTTTTTTCTTTCTTTAAAATTTGATATGCGGTATTAGTTTTAATGAATTACAGTATTAAGATTTGTTAAGGAATTGAACCTATACACTACTTATTTATTAATTTCTTCCACTTTGATCGAAATTATTTGAGGATGTCCTCGCAATGTGGTATAGATAGGATGAGTTTATGTCTCTCTCGTTCCCTTGGTTCAGGTGGTCTTCCCTTATCTTCTCCAACGTTGAGAATATTTCTTGTTTGAGAAATGAGTGCACCCGAATGCCCAACTCTAAGATATTTTACAAAAAGAGGAAACAGACCGTGGGTATAATTTTCCTCATTTATGAAAAAACCGGGGTAATTTTATAAAAAAAAAAAAAAACCAAACTCAAATGTGGCAAGAATACAGAAAGGAATTAACTTTTTTTTTTTTAATCGGTTTTTAAATTTAAAATCTCATTAGCTTTTAATCTTACCTTGCCCGTCTCTCTTGTTTCGACCAAAAGGGGTTGGTTTTCAATCTTGACGCAATCTGGTCGCGTTATTTTTATTTTCTTATCTATTTACCATTGAATTATCAATTAAATTTATAGCCGCCCAATAAAAATAATTTATTTTATAAGCTTTTTCGAATCAACATGATCAGCGTCACGGTCTTACATTGGTCGCGTCATGGTTTTTGTTTATTACGTCTCTCAAGTGGTCTGATGGGCGCCACTCGCATGTTGCCTTCTTGTCTATCGTGTAGGTCAAAACCTACTCTCTTAGATATGATATTTTCTACGAGAGATCTCACATCGATCGGAATGGTGAACAAAATATTTTTTACAAGGGTGTGAAAACCTCTGATAGAAGCGTTTTAAAACCTTGAGAGAAAACCCCAAAGAAAACAATATCGACCCGGGAATTTGACATTTTAATCAAAAGTACATAATTTATAACAATTTAGCTGTGTTATACTAAATTACAGTAGTTATGCAAATTGTTTTCTGGTATAATATCAACAAAACTAATTAATTTCAGTACCGATCATAATCTAAATGTGAATGAGATTATACTCTCGACGATATTAGAGGTTCAAATCGCTCATACTAGACGTTCTTGAACTCATTTTTATTTCATACTAACGTGATTGCAACTCTGTTACAAAGGCTTGATGGAGCTTACAAAAGCAAAAGGGTAATAAACTAGTTTACATACAAAAATGACGTGACGTCTAATGGCTCTAAACTGCAAACTCGTCGGGAAGGAGGTCAGCTCATAACTGCAAGTGTACACCATTATCAAGCAATTGCTTAGAGTATTCTAAGATGTCGAACGTATAGTACTTGTATACAATTAGATACGATCATTTTGGTAAAAAGTTTATCAAATTGCAACAAAAATATCCATAGAATTATTTTTAGGGTTTCTCCTTCCTTTGGACCATACTTATCAAAATCGAAGGTTGTTATCCTTCCATAGGTGTTTATGGATGAGTTGGTTGCTGAAATTCAGGCGAAGAGCTCGACTTTCGAGCTCTAACTTCAAATCTGGAGGATGTGAAATGAACTCAATTTATTTTGACCCATACTAAACAAACGAGCTTTCATATTTTGGGTCAAAATATTCTTTAGATACATAACCCTTTGTAGATAAGGTATGAGCTACCCTACGCGTAATTTAAAAGATACGGTATGAATTAAGATAACAAATTTCGATAGTTCGATTTCTTACTCCTGAAATGTCGAACTAAAATAATCAAAATTTAGAGACCTATTAGCCATTCTGTCAGGGTCTAAACGTATAATTTGAATGTCCAATAAGCTTTTAATCTTACGTGATCTTACACGCTCTTTATATGGTATGTTCTTACTGCATCTCCCTTGTATAGCATGTAAATGTTCAATCAGAAATATTATTAAATTTTTTTAATAGGATCTGTATTAGAAAATGAAAATTTTTTGGTAAAAATTTATTTGGAAAAAAAAAATTCCTTGTCTCGAATGTGATCTCCATGAGGAATCCTCTCTCTAATCTCCGAAAAAACTAAATGGAGGATTTCGCACCTGATCTCCTCGATAATCATCTCTCTAATCCCCACGAAAACAAACCGATGATTTTTCAGGAATAAAAAATAAAAACCGAAGAAGGGAATGCTTTCCCACGCATCTGTAGACATCTGTTCCAACAATAAACAACAAATGAAAATGTTATCAAATGATCCATATTTACTATTTATGGCAAGAATACGAATATTGAAACCTCTTAAAGACACAATCAACTTTTACCTTCCATTGCACTGTTTATCGACTATAAAAGTGAAACAAACCAAGCACAAATGTGTTCATGCCTATATTTTTTCTCTAAAATATGTTTATTTTCAACGCTTGCGCTTTCTCTCTGAATTTTGTTGTTCTTCGCTAACCAAGTCACTGCAATCGAATGATCGATCATCCAAAACCCAGAAATTATCGTCAAGATAACAAATGCTCTAAAAGCTAAGAATCAGCTCACTTTTCACTCCAAATCTGGCAATGGAGTCCACAAGCTTACACCGTGGGCCAGCTACGACTTCAGCTTTCGTCCAAATTTATGGTTGTTATACTGTTTCTCCCGATGGCCTGGCTCATTTCGTTACTTCGATACGTACGTAAATAGGAGAGATAGAAAGAATTGCGAAAGTACTCTATGTTCGTGGTATGTATGTAAGTGAGCAAAATGTTTGTATGTTCAACTATAAAACCAATAATTTTGATATTTGGTACGAGCGGTCCGGTAAAAAAAACAATATATTCCTATATTGGAAGGTTGGATTTTAATATTGAAATAAATTAATGTTTTTTGATATGTTTGTCGTGTGTGTATCTTTTTTTCTTCTTCTTTTTATTTTTAAGCTTGATATGATCATTAGTATAAGTGAATATAAACGCTATCGACATAAATTATGATATTAAGAATTGTCAACTTATTTTGGTCATGATTGGTAATCAAAACAACTATACGAGATTGCGGCATTGCTTTCGAAGAATTTTGGCCTAGAATAAAGGTAAGGTCGAGCATTAGGACTTAGCCTAGAGTAGAGGCAAGTATGATTGAACAGAATTTAGTCACTGCATAAGTTATGTTCGGTTAACGAAGAATAACCTTGTCAAAGGTCTAGTAAAGCCACAATGTCCAACGTGCCATTTATTTTTCCTAACTTGGAGAGAAATTATTTGAAAGCGTTCGGTTTATTTAAGGAAAGGATAACACAAATATATGATATAAATGATATTTTACAATGTGTCATATACGATCGGGCAATAATATAAACATTTTCAATTAATAAATGGCATATCAGAGGAGGGAAATACGAACATACCACGTAGCCTATACGTTACCCTCTTTTATGACAAGAATACAAAATATCAAAACTCACCCTTGTTCGTCAGCTTTAAAGTTAAAGGACAATAACACTACGCTCAAGAATATGGGTTACAGTTAACGACGGATGGATAACGATCGCTCTTATGAGTTGTTTTTGTAAATAACACAAATACTAATAACAATAAATAAAACAATCGATAAGTAAGCACGTAATATTGGGTCACCCATCCTAATATAACAGATCGATCGGAGCGGTAGACAATTAAAACTAATTTTGCAAGTATAAAAGTGAAACAAACCCGGCACAAGTATTCTCATATTTACAAAATGAATTCATGTTCAACACTTGCATCGTCTCTCCTAATGTCG